GGGGTGGCAACAGCGTTGGATATGTAACGCTCCGATCCCACCATGTGCTGGTCGCAGCAGCTGTCCAGGTACCAGGTGTTGTAGCGCTTGTTGTCGTCACGAGCGAGCAGCGCCAGTCACGACGTAACGATGTGCGGAGTGTCGAACTTCAGAAATTGTTCGCGCGAGAGCCAGTCAAGTGGCGCCACCCGCATGTCAGGTACGTGCGGGGGACTTTCAAGCAGCGGGATTGGGAGATTTTAGTCCTGGTCATCGTCGGCGGCGAAGTCGTGGCGCGGGCTGAACGGATTGTTGTTGTTGAATGCGCCGATGGGGTGCGGTGCTGGCTCAGGTGAAGGTGAGCGCACGCGGCGACGACGCGAATCGCCCGTCATAGCCATGTTGCTTATGACGTTGCGTACTAGGGCTGTCGGTGACGGCTGCTGCTGCTGATGCTGAACCGCTGGACTCAGGTTGCACGCGGGTGGGGGTTGATACCCTTGGGCTGGACGCACGTCGCCTCATGCGTCTTGTCGGCCAGACCAGGTGCTCGGATTGGTCTGGCGAGGGCGAGATCGTGATTTGCATTGATCCGCCGAGTGCCCGAAGTTCCTGCAGATTTTGCGCGCCTCGGGCGTCGCTCTTTGTTGTTGTCGGCATAGAAGGCGAGCCGTTCTCTTTCTCGTCGTGGCGCTGGTCGCTACTAATCCATATCCGGTTGTTCGACGAGAAGTGTGGCGCAGAGGGCGGCCTCCGAGATGGCCCCCTGTTGTCGGAGGAGCGCCTTACAGGGCCGCCACTCTGGGCCGAGCCCTTGAAGTACGATGTTCACGAAGATTTCTTCAGGTATCGAGCTTCCTAGCTTCACGATTTGATCGCGAAGGCTCCGACAACGATTTGTTGGCTTTCTCCCCTGAGACCATTTTGGTCTCCATTAGCTGCTGAAACAGCCGGCCCGATGAAACGGAGTCCTTCGACTGATACACACCGTTCAGATGGCGTCAGGCGTCGAGGGCTGGAGCAGCCGATGTCTTGTTCGAACGTATATTCAGCTCCTCCGCCGGCGACATGTTGCGCAGGAGGATTCCGTACGCCATCAGGGACTCGTTGTAGTAGCGAGACCTGTCGTCGTCGGTGTCCTCAGCGGGTTCGGTGTAGCTCCCGTCGAAAATGGTAGATTTGGGCGTTCTGCAGCAAAAGCTCCAATTCGAAGCTCCAGGTATAGAAGTCTCTGCCGTCGAAACAGGTACGTGTCTTTATTTTTTATTGTGCTAAGAGAATTGCTTCATCACTCGGACAGGGAGCCCTGGGGGTTGAGCCATTTGTGTCGAGGGAGAACGTTTGCGGGACGGCGTTCTGCCCAGTTGGGGCCGGTTAAGACGGTTGCGAGGATGTTCCCGCATCGCCGTTCCGTAATGTTTGGAGCCCTTGCACCAGGCTGGTGAGTCGCTGAAGAAGTTGTGCGAAGACTTCGGTGCCGATCGTCGTCGTGTTCTCGCTTGCCGCAGCCGGGTTGGGTTGCGCTTCAGCCGTCAGATTAGTCTGACCACCAGATCCTCCGGCCATTCTCACACGCGATCGTGTGTCGGACGCCACTTTCCGAATGTCGCATTTTTTAGGAGTGGCAGTGCGAATGATTCCCGAGCCGCTCTCATACCATGCTACGATTAGAAGATGATCGCTGCCAGGATCTACCCAGGAAGGTTTGCACGCAGAGAAGTAAAGTTGGTGGGCCCTTGATCTCAATAGCAGAGTGAATCAAAAATGCTTTGAGATGATAATAACATGCAAATACAACGATATAAATAAGAGTACAGGGGAATACGAAACGACCTAACTAGCCATGTACTCTAAGGGGTACATTCCCTTATTCAAATACATTCCCAACAGTGCGGCACGTACAGTTACGAAATTGTTCCCGCCAAAACCATCCTGCCTGCAGTTGCCCGATGCCGTCTGCTCCGACGGTCCAGATGTGCTGTAACTGTCTGACGCTTCGAGTCAATTCCTAGCCGTCTGACTATTCGCGTTCGTTCTCGATACTGCGTGCTTCTCTTGCTGCGGTGAGAAGTGCACTGTAATAATCAGGTATTACTAATCGTAACAGGACGGACCGCACCAGCGAGGACGACACATGGGTACCATCCGCATCGCATGAAGCGCCTTCGTTACTGTGCGATTACCTCGCCCCGAAGCGTGTCGCGGATGTTGACCACCTTGCTTAAGGGGGTAGGGGTAGTGTAAGGAAAAACCTTTTTTTCCTTACCGGGGTTTACTCAACCGCGTACAACCCCAACTTTCGGAAGTGCACGTTCGGCCACTTTGCTTGCTGCCGAAGCAACCTCGCGTCGCTTTCAGCTTTCTTTTGCCCAACTTGCACCCAACCTTGTGTCTCCGAGGTTCCCGCCTAGCTGGGTTATCTCGCTATACAAATTCGTGCCTTTCATTGTATCATCAATTCATAGTGTCATAGCTTCGTTATTCGTTTTCTGTGGAACTCTGTTTGACAACTTGTTATGAGTTGTGAACGAAAGAGTGCGCAGAATTCAATAACGCGGAAGTGATTACAACGTCTGAGAACACAACGAGGCCTAGGACTAATATAGCGAAGCTAGCTAGGCCGAGGTCGCGGGGTCGCGAGATGGTTGGGTGCAGGTTCGGGGTTGGAAAACCCGAAGGCGATGTGGTAGTGGCTCGGAAGGCGAGGTCGGCGGGCCGAGCCTGGTTTTCCGAAAGTCGAGGTTGTACGCGTACAGTGTGACCCAGTAAGGAATCCAAAAAATTCCTTACACAACTCATAACAATGTTACAATACGTTACTGTGCAACAACTGTTCGTGAGTGAGTGGTTGAAAATTCCTTACATCAATCTGTTTTACAACTCACAACACCTTCGAGTGCACTTTCGAATTGACACGCGATAGAAAAATATGAAGACCAAGCAGCTGGTTGCTGCACATTCGGCTCGGCCAAAACGAGGGCGCAGCGCCACCACTGCCTGGTGCCCCCATCCACCAACCTCTCCGCCCATCCCTTTCCGCCCCATCCCTCTCCCGCCTCCCCGCTTGATTCCTCTGCCGCTGCGCTGCGACGCTTTTGCGACATTGCTGCTGGCCGTTGACAGTTTCACTTCACATCACACCAGCACAGTACCCTAGCAGATAACGGACACCTTTCCATTCCATTCCCATCCCATTCATCATGGCCCAGTGAGGCCTCATCAGTCAGATAGCCTATCATTTCCCCACGTACGCGACACTAAGTCGTATGTGAAGTCAGGCATCGACTCGCTTCCCAACTCTCGCCTTTCGACGACGAGAGTGCAGTGGTGAGGCACCAGCGGAGCGACTCCTCAGTGCCCCTAGGCGCAGCACCTCCAGACCCAGAACCCCCAGGCTCAGCACCCCCAGACTCCTCACACTCAGGCTCAGCACCTCCAGGCTCCGCACCCCCAGGCTCAGCACCCCCAGGCTCCGCACCCCCAGGCCCCGCACCCCTAGGCTCAGCACCCCCAGGCTCAGCACCCCCAGTCTCAGCACCCCGAGGCCCAGCACCCCCAGAAGCAGCACCCCAAGCAGGACCTAAGTCACCTGTCACCTCAACCGGCGGAGACAAGGGAGGAGGGTCTACCTGAGACACACCTGAAGGAGCAGGACCGGGAGCGGGAGGGGGGTCTACCTGGGCAGCACCAGGAGCGAGGAAGAGCGGCGGGGGGGGGGGGGAGAGGGGCGGTGCGGTAGGGAAAAAGGCGGTAAAAGGGAACCGACTCGTCGAACATGACGTCCTGAGAGGGGAAGACACGACGCGAGGTGGGGTGGTAAAACTGCCAACCAGGCGCGTCAGGGACGAAGCCAAGGAAGACACAGGGAACAGCGCGGGCAGAGAGCTTGTCCGCGGTGGTGTCGCGGACAAAGGCACGGCAACCCCAGACCCCGAAACGCGACGCATCGCCAACCTCCCCCGTCCACAGCAGTGTGGGCGAGGTCTCCGGCAAGGAGACACGGGGCCAGAGGTTGAGCTGATGCGCGGCGTACCGGACCGCAAACAGCCACAGAAAATGGGGGGCAGCCGCATGGACCATGGAGGTACGAGCGACCTCCATGACCAAGCCAATGCTGCGCTCAGCAACCCCATTCTGCTGCGGAGAGGCCGGAAGCGTGAAAGACTCGGTGATGCCGTGCTCCGCACAGTAGGCTGCCAAGAGGTCGGAGGAAAACTCACCACCTCTGTCAGAGTGCAGACGCAGGACGGGAAACTCCGTCCCGAACCGCCGGCGGAGCTGGAGACGAGCAGCGCGGATTCGAAGGATCAAAACATCAGAGACCTCACCCTTGGTGCACAAGGGGAAGACCGTGGTGTAACGAGTGAAGTCGTCGACGACCAGCAGGAAGTACCGCTCGTGGCCCTGTCCACGGACGCGGGCTGGGCCCCACACGTCCAGGTGGAGAGTCTGCAGGGGAGCCTCTGTGGGAGGGAACGAGGAGTGAGGAGCGGCGCGCTGCCGCCCCTCAACACAGGGAAGACAGGGAGGAGCAGGCGAGGGTGGGAGGGGAGGGAGAACCCTGGGCAGACCAGAGACAAGGACACGACGGTGCATGCTGCGAAGGCGCTGCACCGAGGGGTGACCAGGCGGTGGTGCCAAAGGAGGGTCTTGTGCAACCAGGCGCGACACAAGCAGGGGGCCGACAACTGACCTGACGCAGACGCAGATGCAGCTACCTGAGGGGACTCAGTGGTCAGGGTGTACAGGCTCGAGCCAGGCTCACGGGTGAACGTGGCCAGGCGTCGGCCCGTCCGAGCACACGTACAGTGAGTCATTCGCTGACGCGCAGGAGTGAACTGGTCAACCCTCCCATCCTGGAGGTCAGCTTCACTCACCAGGTTAGTAGAGAACGAGGGGAGGTAGAGACCTAACAGCAAACCAGACGGGGCGGCCGCCCAGGCTTTCTCGGGTAGCCAAGAGAGAGCAGGCCGAGCGACGCCTCAATCAGCTGGGACGCCGCAGTTACCATTGGCCAGGCGATGGATTCTCGCTCGTCGTCCGTCGTCGCCGAGTCTCCTGGCGACGATTCCGCCTCGCCAATCCATTCCCTATCCGACGACCTTCTCACCTCCATACTCCGCCTAGTCCTCTCCGCCAATCCCACCGCATCCGATACAAGCACATCCGATATAAGCACCAGTGTTTGTCGCACACCGTACCAGGTGGCTCTCGTCTGCAAGCGCTGGTCCTGCGTCGCGCCTCTCGCGCTCACCACCCTCACAGTCCTCTCCGCCTCTTCCGCCGCCTCCCCCGCCGCCTCCTTTTCCCCCAAACGGGAGCTCCTATGCCGCCGCCTCGAGCAAGCGCTGCGCAAGTTCCCGAGCCTGACTCGCCTGCACCTCGACAGCCACACGATCGATTTTATCGACGATCGCTTCCTGCGCGCCCTAGGCTCGGCATGCCCGAACCTGACGTACCTCTTCCTCGGCAAGGTTCGGCTGCCGGTTCGGCCGCCGCTCGTCGACGCGGTGAGCGAGGCGGGCCTCGCGAGCGTGTTTCGCGGATGCCGGCGGCTCGAGCACGTGAGCGTGCACTGCGCTCCGAATATTAAATCACTTCCCGCGTCGCTCCTCGATCTCCCCGCGCTGCGCCGGCTGCAGCTCGAAGCGCCGAGTTTAAAGCTCTTCCCGGAAGTCTCCCGGGGGAGATTAAGTACGCTCCGCGATTTGCGGCTGCTGTCGTGCAACGCGCTGCCGTGCCTGCCGGACTCCCTGGGCGACCTCGCGGGTCTCACGCATCTGCGCATCGAGAAATCCGACAATCTCGAGCAGCTGCCTGATTCGCTATGCGACCTGCAGCTGCTCGACGTCCTCGTTATAAGCTCCTGCTACTGGCTCACGTCGCTGCTCGACGATCTCGGGCAGCTGCCGTGCTTACGCGTGCTCGAGTTGGAAGGCTGCGGAGGTTTGCTCGAATTGCCCGGCTCGCTGCCGCAGCTCCACTCCCTCGAGCGACTCGTTATAAGCCGATGCGGTAACCTTACGCTGCTGCCCGAAGACATCGGGCAGTTACCACTCTTGCGCGAATTGGAAATCAGCAAGTGCCATCGCCTCGTAGGCCTCCCGCCATCCCTGCCCGACCTAGCCGAGCTCCAGTTCCTGGAAGTTTCCGACTGCACGCGTCTAGAGTCCCTACCCGACGACCTAGGCCATCTATCCGTTCTTAAAACCCTGCGCCTCGCCTCGCTCCCTAATCTCGCCTCTCTGCCCGAAACCCTAGACCAGCTGACCTGTCTGGGGGAGCTCCAATTAGAAGACATCGACAATCTTTTGGGCCTGCCCGATCCAGTAACGAGCCTCGGGCAGCTGGAAAAACTTGTTCTGGGGCTGTCCTGCTCGCCGAGCCTGCCCGAATCTGTAGGCGCGCTGACCCGTTTGAAAGAGCTGCAGCTGCGGCACTGTAAGGGGTTAACGGGACTGCCTGTAGCGATGCGCGCGATGACGCGGCTGGAGCGGCTGGTGGTGGAGGAGTGCTGCGAGCTGGTGGCGCTGCGGCTGCCGGAAGGGGAGGGCGCGGTTGCGACTAGAAGGGAGGGAGGGCTGGATGGGGGAGGACAATTCGTGTACGCAGGATCAGAAATAAATGGGGAAGGAAGGGTAGGTGAGCAGTAGGAGGAAATGCAGCGGCAGGAGCAGAAGGGTTTGAGCAGGGACAGCAGGGTCAGCAGGGATAGCAGATGCAAGAGCAGCAGGGTCAGAAGGTTGGGGGGTTGGATGCAGCAGGACAATCAGGCTCAGCACCCCTCTCAACCACTCTCATTGACGGACTCAACCGTCTCACCCTCATGACCAAACCTCCTCATCCCTCCTCTCCCTCTCTCCCCCCTTGCACCTCCGCCCTCCCCCTGTCCTCCTCGCCCCGCCTCCGCGCCCTTATTCTCATTGGCTGCACGTCCCTGCGCGCCCTCCCCGCATCTCTGACGGCCCTGGCTGAGCTGGAGCGGCTGGTGGTAACCAGGTGTACCGCGCTACAGTGGGCGCCGGGGAACGTGGCTCAGATGCAGGGGTTGCGGGAGCTGAGGCTGGATGGGTGCAGAACGGTGCTGCTGCCGCCATCTCTGGCATGCTTGGGGCGGCTGGAGAGGCTGATTGTAGTAAGTAATGGGTGTAGTGGGAGCGGCGTGGGAGCGGGGGTGGATGTGGGGAAGGGGATAGGGGTGGACATAGATGGTGGCATGGATGGTAGCAGCAGCAGCGACAGCAGAAGTGGACACGGGTGTGTTACAACCGATGAAGGTGCTGCAGGCGGTTGTGGCACTCCAAGTAGTGGCAACACTACAGATTGTGCGAGCATGGTTGCAACCACAACAAGCAGTGGCAGCAGCTCCAATGGCTCTGGTGGCGCAGTGACTGTTGGCACTAGTGCTGCTGCTACCGATAACTTTGGTGCTAGTGCTACCATTATTGCCGCTGGTCGCAGAGGTGGTGGCAGTAGTGAGAGCATGGCTGCAGGTAAGCCACAGAGCATCCCAACCGGTCTGTCACTGGCCCACAATGATACCGCAGCTGGCACTTTGGAAGATAGCAGCAGCAGCGTCGGCGGCAACAGCAGTAACCATAGTGGTAACTGCAACAGCACGAGCACAAGCATCAGCTGCAATGGAAGCAGTAACGGGATCATTGTAGCACAGGCACACCCTCAGCAGCACAACCACGTGCACCCGAATCCCCACTCACACACACCTCCCTCACACGATTCCCTACCTTCCCTTGTGCCATCCAGTCCATCCAGTCCCTCTTCTACCCACGAGCCCTTCTCCTCCTTCCTCCCCTCGCCGCCCCTCACCCTCCCACCCGGCATGGCTGGCGCAGCTGAGGGAGCTGGAGGTGAGCGGCTTTGACTCCCACTCCACCCTGCCGCCCTCCCTCGCCTCCCTCTCCCTCCTCACCCGCCTCTGCCTTACCGGTTCCATCAAGCTCGCCTCCCTGCCTGACCTCCCCTGTGGTGCGGTTGTTGCTGGTACTGATTCCTCTTGCTGCTGTGGTTTCCCCTCCTCCTCCTCCTCCTCCTCCTGCTCCTCCTCCTCCTTGAAAACCCCTTCTCCCACTGCCCCCAACGGTACTTTCTTCCTCCACCTCACCAACCTGAGAGACCTGCAGCTCGACTCCTGCCTCTCCCTCTCCGCCCTCCCCTCCTCCCTCTCCTCTCTCTCCTCCCTCACCCGCCTCCACCTCGCCTTCTGCTCCTCCCTCTCCTCCCTCCCCCCACGCCTCTCCTCCCTCTCCCACCTCCGCTCCCTCAACCTCCAGGAATGCATCTCCCTCACCTCCCTCCCCCCCTCCCTCTCCGCTCTCGTCCGCTTGGAAGGGCTTTACCTTAAAGGGTGTATCCAGCTGGAAAGCCTTCCAGGTGACATCGGCTATTTACCGAGGCTAAGGGAGTTGGTCGTGCTGCAGCGCATGCTTTCAGCCCGCAGGCGGGCAGGAGAGGCGTCGGCAGTAATGGCAGCATCGGCAGAGGCAGCGACAGCAGCATCAGAGAGGGTGAGCGACCCGTGCTGCTGCGCTGCGAGGGCTTGCAGGGGAGCAACCGCGTGCGCGCGTTAGACCCTACCAAGTACGAGATGACAGCAACAGCCGTCGCCGCAGCAGCTGCAGCAGCAACAGACGCAGCCCAAGCTGTGCCCGAGAGCGAGTACGAGGTAGCACCCGTGCCTGGAAGCCGCGGGGGAAGGTCGTCGCGGAGGGGCAGAGGGATGGGCGACGGAAGGCCGTCGCGAGGCCAAGGGCGATGACGCTGTGGTGACGTCAGCAGCACCTGGAAAGAGCCAGCCCGTGGCGGCGGCGTGGTGGCAATTTGGCGGGCTTGATAAGGTAACCAGCAGCGGCGGGAAGGGCGGCAGGCGGAAGAGCACAGGCAGCGCAGTGGGCAGAGGGGTGACTAGCAGGGTGAACAGGAGGCAGTCGCGACCAGTGGAACCCCCCACCCCCCAGAGTCCTGACAACGACGCGCGCACGGAGAACTGCACTTTGCCCTCGGTATCCCCGGCAGCCTCTCCTATCACCCGTCCTCGCGCGTTGCAGCATGCAATTCGTCCTGCCTCCCGCCGTCTCCCCGCCTCCCGCCATCTCCCCGCCTGCCGCCCGCCCTCCCTCAGGTTGAGAAGGCAGCAATCTGCTGCTGCTGCACTGGCCTCTGCTGCCCCTTGTGTGTTGCATGCGGCTCAGAGGCAGAGTGAGAGGCAGGTTTACTTGACTGCAGGAGCAGGCAAGGAGGGCAGGGGAGCGCATGAGGAGCGCAGGCGCCCAGTGGTGGTATACCAGAAGAGCAGCAGCACTGGCAGCGGCAGCGGGGGAGGAGGCACCAGTGGCACCAGCGCTAGCAATGCCACCAGCTGCGGCAGTGGCAGTGGCAGCAGCAATATGCCGAGCAGCCAAAGTGGCAGTGCTGCTGCCCAGCCCAAGCGCATTGCCCATAGCATGACCTTCCACCCTGGCGGCAACACAAAGACTAGCCTAGCCACGGTTGGGAGCAGCAGCAACAGCAGCAGCAGCGGAAGCAGCAGCAACAACAACAGCAACAGCAGTACCCACTGCTGCACCTCGCCTTCATCCTCAACTTCTCGCCCCTCTCCCCCGCTCCCTTTGTCACCACCACCACCACCAGCGTCCCTCGTCCCTCTCCCGTCGCCCCCATTCCTCACCCGTCGCCCCTTGCTCTCACTCTCTTTCTCTGCCTCAGCTTCACCATCAGCCTTGGCCAAGCCTAGGCCTCTGAGCCGCGCCAACTCCGCTGCCCTGGCGCTGCTGCACCCGCAGCCCATCTTGCTGGCCGGTGGGAAGCGATTCAGCACCCGCAGCCCTGCTGCTGCGGCTGCTGCTGCCGCCGCCGCTGCGGTTGCTACAAACGGCGGTGGTGCTAGTGCTGCTGCTGCAGCAGCGGCTACCAATGGTGCTGGCGCTGTCACTGCTCCCAATAATAGTGCTGCTGCTGCAACTGGGATAGCAAGAGAAATGAGAGCAACTGAGGCGGCAGCGACAGCAGGAGGAAAGGGAGCAATGGGCCTCAAAGCGAGCGCGGTGGTATACCACCCGCCCTTCAGCAGCTACAGGCACCAGGCTGACGTGGCAGCCTCGGAGGAGGAGGCGAGGCTGAGGGAGCTAGAACAGCAGGTGGAGAAAGAGAGGAGGAGGAGGGAGGAGGAGGAAGAGGAAGAGTTGTTGGCAGTGGCTGGGGAGAGGGGAGTGAGGGAGGTGAGAGTGAGGGAGGGCGAGTGGGAGGAGGGGGGTGCTTGGATGGTGAAAATGCCTGGACGGGGGGAGTCGAGGAGGCTGGAGGAGCTCTGGGAGAAAGCGGTTGGGATGGGAGTGGGGATGGGATTGGATGGGGTGGAGATGTGTTTGGAGCTTGATAGAGGGGTGGTGAGCACTGGGACTAGTGTGGGGGTGATGTAGGGCGGGAGAGAGCATGCAGTCACATCACCAGCAGCTGTACCTCCTCCCATGCGACGATCCCGCACAGACACACGGCAGGAAAGGCAGGCACGTGAGCAGCAGGCGCAGAGGGAGCAGATGGGTGTGTTTGTGAAACAAGATGTTGGATTGGAAGCTGCAGCGTCTCCACCCATGCGACGGTCCCGTACTGACACGAGGCAGGAGAGGTGTGCGCGAGAGCACAAGGAGCAGAGGGAGGAGATGGAACAAATGGCTGTATTTGCGAAACAAAGCGTTGGAACAGTGCCCGCACCGCCTCCCATGCGACGCTCACGGACTGACACAAGGCAGGAGAGGGGGATGAGGGCCCGGCAGCAGGTAGTGATTCCAGCAGTGAGTGGGGGCGGCAGGAGAAGCGAGGGGAGCAGCGGGCGGGAGGGGAGAAGCGGAGGGGAAGCAGGCAGCGGGCGGGTGTTGCGGCGAGGCAGCACACAGCCGAGCCGGCGCTCGGAACAACGGGAAGGGGTGGCCCGGCGCAGAGAGGGGGACCTGCTCATACGCACGCATGCTCTGTGAGTACTATGGGCAAAGGGCAGGGGGCAGGGGGCAGGGGGCAGGTGGCAATGGGCAGGGGGCAGGGGGCACGGGGCAGCGGGCACGGGGCAGGGGCAGGGGGCAGGGGGCAGGGGGCAGGGGGAAGGGGGAAGGGGGCAAAGGGCAGGGGGCAAGGGGCAGGGGGAAAAGGGCAGGGGGCAAGGGGCAGGGGGAAGGGGGAAGGGGGCAACGGGCAGGGGGCAGGGGACAAGGGGCAGGGGGCAGTGGATAGTGGGCAGGGGGCACGAGACAGAGGGCGATAACAGTGGGGAAGGGGGAGGGGGTGCCTTGGCGCAAAGAGGGGGACCTTCTCATACGCGGGCACGCTCTGTGAATCCCATGGGTAATGGCCAAGGGTGGTTGTGAACTTGTCTAGTGGCAAGTTGATTCTTAGTCGACTCAGAAATCATTATGCTTTGTGAGTCACGTGGGTAGAGGGCAGGGGTGGTTGTGAGCGTGTCTACTGGCAAGCCACTCAAGCCTGTGTGGCAGCAGCTGTGTGCTCTGCTGCTGATGTGATCTCATCCCTTCTTCCCTGCTCACTTGTTTGCCTGTCCCTTGCACTGCTCCTGCTGCTGCTGCTGCTGCTGCTGCTGTGTGTGTGTCTGCAGAGGGCAAGACGCGGAGATTTTGATCCTAGACAACTGAGCGTGGTCACAAGATGGCATGCAGTGACAGCTGATAAGGATGACGACAACGGTGATACGACAGTGATGACGAACCGTTGCCTTACAACCATCCTCGGCTGCTCTAGACAACTGCGCAGTTTGGCAAGTTGCTGACATTCCTGTCTAACTCGCAGGAAGCGAGTGTGTGGGTGCGGGTGCTTGCTTCTGTCACGCAGTAAGCCAGAGTGTTTCCGTCCATCCACTGGCATGACTGGTAGCCAGCGAGCAAGCGAGTCCTCGCATTGTTGTAATGTAAATGGAAGTGCCAAGCCAAGCCAATGGCTCCCTCAATGAAGCCAACAGTGAGGTGCATTTTGAGGCGCCTCAAAATCCGCGTGCAGTGAGGTGCATTTTGAGGCGCCTCAACATCCGCGTGCAGTGAGGTGCATTTTGAGGCGCCTCAAAATCCAATCCAAGCCAATGGCTCTCTCAATGAAGCCAATAGAGAACCGGTATTCCATAATCCATCCTCTAACACTCCAGTATCAGGCAATCAACACATGCTGCCAGTCTGTTTTGCTTGCTCTTTCAGCTCATGCATGGTGCTATTTTGAGTAATAATTTTCAAGCAGTTTGCGAGCATCTTTTACGCATTTGCATTTGTCAGATGAGGTTGTAGGTTCCCTTCCCTGTGTGCTTCTCGCATCTCCCATTTTTATATTAGTTCCAGGTTATTGCACTGCACCCGAGTCTCAACACAAACAAAGTCTAAAGTGCTGTTACACCGTATTGCCCTGTATGTAACACCCTACTGTCTGGCAGTACTGCTACACACACTGAATCTCGAGTTGCGTGCTGGGCAAATGGGCAAATTCAATGCGTGCTGGCTGGCTTCAATTGCAGCCAGCTCTTGATGCTATCACTCATCGAGAAGGTACCCGTGAATGAGACCACACCAGACTGTGAGCCATGAGACCTCTCATGCTCCCTCCCTCCATCTCCACACAACTCAGAAGGCATCCCTTGGTTGCTTGCCCCTTCTTCTGTCACAACATTCTCCCACTCGTCCTCCTCGTCAGGGCAGTGCTTGGCAATGAGGGCACTGAGGCGGTATGCCACATCCTTCATGGTGGGTCGCCGTGTGCCGGGAGACTTGATGCAGTCCAGAGCCAGGTCTGCAAAGTCCACTATGGCCTCCTCGCTTGCTGCCGGCATTTTTCTGTCCCTCAGCTCTTCTAGCTCATATGCCTGCAACAGCTTCATAGCCTGGAGGGCATGCCCGCAAGGAAGGGTGATGATGAGAGAGGCGGTGCTAAGCTGCATGTTAAGCAGGAAAGGCGCTGGAAGGAGGCATTACGGTAAGGAAAGGCAGTGAAAACTAACATGCAAGGGAACCAGGGATAATGAGCGGCCATAGAATAATGAGGTCAGATGCGGATTTGAGTTTTTTTTTTTTTTTTTTTTTTTTTTTGTGTACTCGTTTTTCTTGCCAATTCAAATTTGACGAGCATACCCATATGCTGATATGCGTTGTATGCGTTTCCGTGTTGACTCGAGGCGGCTTTCCACTCAGCAACTCAAGAAGCAGGATTCCAAAGCTGTAAGCAATCAAGCATCAAGGAAAGAGGAATGAACATGGCAGAAGATGGAGAGAGGCACAGGGTACAAGTATTGAACATAACTTGGAAGATGAAAAACTGAGATACACAGGGTACAACGTGTTGTGCAAAGGAAAAAGCTTTCATGCTCACCTGAACACATCACTCTTGGCTGTGATGACGCTGGTGCGGTTGTAATCCGGGTCCACGTAGCCCGGAGTGCCAGCCACACGTGTGGCATCAGCATCGCCGTGAGTGAGGCGCTTGAGCAGCCCAAAGTTAGCCACCTTGGCTTGCATGTCAGCCGATACGAGGATGTTGGCGGGCTTGATGTCGCGGTGAACGATGGGTGTGTCAAACCCATGCAGGTACG